CCCCAACACCCGATTGGGCTGTCAATTTCCCGTCATACAAAATGACTGAAAATTGCAAATTTCGCAACGCTATATTATCCGCATTTTACAACATTTCGCAACGAAACTTTGGAATATTACTAATTTTGTGATGCTCTTTCAAGCTGTGATGAAATTTTTGTCTAGATCAAACTTTACTCTATAATGCAAATGGTCCATTTACCTATGCAAAATTCCTACTGTTATCACAGAAACTTTGATAGTAGGCCGGTTTACACGACCAGTGTTTTGGGCACGGCACCCCTAAAAATGGGCACCCGTGCCCAAAATTTTAGGCACGGCACCTCTGCCTTTTGGCGTGTAAACGTGACAAAAATCGGCACCGGTGCCGCAAAATTTAAACGTGCCGAGACTTTCTCACGAGGTAGTCTCGGCACGTCTAGCAAGGGGTGCCGTGCCCAAATTTCGAAAAAAATAAAAAATGTGTTCGACATCGAGCATGCGCAAAACAAATTGTCCTCTTTCCAACATGGCAGCAAGCGGCGAAAAACTACAACTTGCCAAAAATTAAAAAAAAAACAAAGTTAAAAAACAAATTTAACACAGAATGTGAATGTTGCTCTAGTTGACTCGGAAATTTTGATACCACTGTTCGTCGCTGAATAGAGCAGTAACTAGGTCGTAGCATGCAAATAGCTGTCGTTCGATGCGTCCATACCTCTCGAATTCGTGGCGGGTGAATACAAGATGGCACAACATTTATGCGAGAAAACAACTCCTTTCGTCTTTAAGGGCCTGTTCATATGGGCAAAGGTTATCCCGGTTAACGAGAAAACTTTTCGACTAGCTAGCCAAATATACTTTTGTTCTGTTCACATGCATGGAGAAACGTTATTCCGCTTACCGGGTAAAGTTTCCGGCTGTGACATAGCACTGAATATCAATTGAACTGAAAAGTAACTGACACGACAGAAAGCTATCCTGCCAAGCGGGAACTAGAGTTGTGTTCATATGGGGAAAACATTATCACTTGACAAGCGAGATCTCGGTACGTACACGGGAGTTTTGTCTTATATGAACGCAGTGTAAACTAACTTTTCATATTATTTTCATACCAAGGCGAGATCTCGCTTGTAAACTTTTCGAAAAGTTTTTTCACTAACCAGGATAACTTTTGCCCATATGAACTGGCCCTTAAAGTACGTTCCTAGTATTGAATTGGTTTTTCCCTCGATTTTCGGCTCATATAATATTCTTCTTCGTTCCAATAAATAGAAATATATAATTCTATTTCTGGCCGGCATATTTATTACTCGCTGGGGCACCTGTGCCCGGGCGAGTATAGGTTTCGGCACACATTTTTAGTGGATTTCCAATAGTGGATCGCAATTTTCTTGTATAGCCACAAAATAGAATATTAATGAGCTACCCACTTTATCCTTTTCAAAATGGCGGCCTTGGTGGAGTGAGCAAAGTGTTTCGAACAATTTCGTTAAAATTTTCAACGAATTGTACCTGTTTTCTATGGATTTAGCATTGTGTCTAACTTTGGACATTCTTGCTAGTTTAGTTAATGCATTTTTCTTGGTGCACGACTCTGAAAATCCGAAATTTGGATCGTTGAATAACTTGAATTCCTGTGCACGATCATATAATATACTGAATCTGAATATAAACGAGCCAAAGACATGCACAATTTCAAGGTAAAAGGTTATAACTTAAACTACATAACGTAGTTTTAATAGATAACTACTTGATGAGAAGCATATTGGTGTCATATCAATATAAAATTTATCCAACAACAGTCTCTAAGGCCTAAATACTTATAGTTAGCTGTGAACGTAAACTGCAGTGTGAAATATGATATTGTATTTGTAATGCTTAATCTAATGGCGCAATAAGGAAAAAATACCACCGTTTGATTCAGTGTGAGAAATTATACTTACGGATGTCAAATGTATTACTAAACAACAATATTCTAGCAATTTATGGCCTTTGAAAATCAAACGAAATTGTATTGTTGACTATTAAATCGCTCGCAGACCTCTCGCAGTATGTGTTTACTGTTGTTGACAATCACTCGACACTCGCAGTACGTTTGACTTCGTATTTGTACTGTCTAATGGCGCAATAAGCATAAAAATATCACCGTTCGATTCAGCGTAAGAAATTGTACTTACGGATGTCAAATGTATTACTACACAACAGTATTCTAGCGGTTTATGGCGTTTGTCTTTGAAAGCCAAGCGAAATTGTATTGTTAACAAATCGCTCAAAATTTATATTAAACTAATTATAAAAAATGCAGTACGTTTGATCCTTGATAACTTTGGTATCGTTGGTTTTCCCTTTTTCGTCCGTACACCAGTAGATTCGTCTCACTTCTCTCTTCATTTTGATAGTATTTTGAGCCCAAAAATATTATATTTCGCACGTTTTTAAGTGCAGTTTAACCCTAGCCAAAAATTATTTTGAACGTTTTTAAGCGCAGTTTAATCCTAGCCGGCGGAAACGCAGGAAGTTTTATTTGTAGACCACATGTAATAGTACTGTTTCTGATTGTATAAGTCCTGAACTGAGGTCATTATACTATAACAGAAACTTCAAAACTGAGCCACCTACCTGCAATACAAGCCTACTAATTTGAGAGCGGCAGCATGCACTCTCACCTTAATTAACAAGCAAAATCGACTGGTTTAATTAAAATAGCTGTGTACTGCATGCATGTATGTATCATACATGGTAATGTGCGTATTTGTATATAGCCCCAGCGAGTTAACGCTCTATGGAGCGTCTTGTTCTTTAAAATATACCGTCGTAAACGGAAAATAGAGGTGCCGTTTTCCGATGCATGGGCACGCACTGAATATCAATTGAATTGAAAAGATGCTGATACGACAGAAAGTTATCCCGCTAAGCGGTAAAGTTGAGTTCATGCATATGGGAAAAACATTATCCCCCGGTCACCGAGATCTGGCCGTGTCAACAAGCGAGATCTC